AGCAGTCCCTGTCAATTATTATTTGAAGTACTCAGAACCAAGTTTGTGGATAGTCCAGGATTAATATACTCTGATAAACTGGGCCTTTACTATTTATTCCGAGTAAATAACTTTTTATGAAAAGAGTTGTAAGCAACACTTGTAGCAAATTTTGTAACCAAAACATTATCATGTCTGGAGAGAAAGCTCAGACAGAAGAGTCTGATTTGGGTGAAAGCAATTGTACTTTTTTTTTGGAAGGTCGACTTTAAGTAAGAGAGAAACAAACCCCAGGAAATGCATATGGCATGAGGCTATAAGCTGCAGGGAAGGAGCTTAAGTTCCACATTGTCCTTGGAATTCCTATACACAACTTCATGTCATGTTGTGCTCACAGTTTTGAGTCATTGGATGGAAGCCACAATAATCAACTCTGTCAGTATTGGAGCTCTGTCAGCCCAATGTTCTACTCAACAGATGTAGACCTTTGATAGAACAGTTGATAAAGCCATGAAAACTGTCATCAATCCCATCAAGAACTGTTTCATTAGTCACCGGAAATAGAAAGTAGTTAGAAAGAGCGTATGTCTCATACTTAATGTGTGCCAGTGTAATCCATTTAGCTGGATTAGAATATGAGAAAAGCTCACATAATTAGAAGAATTTGACCATGGGTTTAAGATTGCTGTAAAAATCATTATTTTCAAAGATGATTTCTAATATTTTCCAGATTAACATTATCAAAATTTCACAATTAGCTTGCATGTCTGTACATAATAAGGCAAGACCATGTGCTGATACATTAAGGAAGTCACTTTCACCAACCTATAAAGAATATGAAACTATTATGTAAGGAATGAAACTCCACCTCTTTTGTTCCATATAATTAAAATCAAATAAGCAAACACTCATCAAGTCTAGGATTTGGAATGTGGAAAATGGTCATTGAATGTGGTATGTTTTTTGTCTAATTTGTGTTTGTCTGACTGATAGACTGGTTTGGTTTAATAGAATAGAAATAAGGTGGTCAGGAATAAGAGGAGGAATGGTTTTTTTTTTTTGTGTGGGAGGAGTAGGATATGATGATAAGTTGAGATATTTATAGTATTTGGCAAAGTCTGTTAGATTTAGGCTATTCGAAGTCATTGGGCAAAAGGTAAGGGCAAACTGGGTCCAGAGAAGTGGTGAATAACCAATACGAGTTGAAAAAGTAATTTAATCTCTCAATTACTCCAAGTGACTCTCTAATACTGTAAATTGCACAGCTCTATTGGTGGAAGCAGTTACTCAAAAGAAACTGCCTTTAGCTATAAATCACAGGTCTCATCCAAAAAGAAAAAAAAAAAGGTCAGAGAAATATCCAGGTGAATGAGACGATGTGGAAGAAAGTGAGCTTGGGAGATGTGTCTGATGGTCAGGATTTCAGCTACAATGTGATCCACTCTACAGATTTGTGCATGTTTAACTTGCATAAAAATATGGCTCAAGAAGATTTATAGATAAATCATAGAATATATTTCAGCACTGCAAAAAAATAGGTTTATTTAGAAACACAAGATTTAAAAAATGAGGGGACCTTAGGGATCATTGATGGTAGTTCTCCAGATGAGGAAACTGAAGTCAATCAATTAACAACTATTTAAATGTCTACTATATGCCAGGCCTGTGCTAGGTCCTGAGGATACAACGAGGAAACAATTGAGAGTCTCTTTTTCCAGGGAGTTTACATTAATTAGTGGGAGTCCAAAGAGATTAACAAGGAGGTAATTAGCAGAGCTGAGATTTAAATCCAGGTCATATGATCTCAAACCAGGGTTTTGTCCACTACCTCATGCTGCCTAGGGTAAAAATCTACTTATAAAAAAAATGAAAATCATGATTTGTGGTTTATTTTTTTTTCCAATTTAATTCTCTACTTGTAATGGAAATAAAAGTCAAGATTTTGCTTTTCAAGTTTTGATTGTTTATGATTCCCAGGAGAGACACTCAATTTAAAATGAGATTAACTAGGTAAATATTCTATATTAAAATATGAACAACATACTCCATAAATCATTATGCACGCTCGAATTTCCTATTTCTTTCCCCTCTAGTCTACAGTAATTATACAATTAGTATAAGTGACATGCAAATATTAACTGCTGAAAAAATTAGTATGTATACATTTTTTGTTCATTAATTTCCAGTTAAAGGGAAAAAAATGGGCAAACCATGGATACATTTGAGTTTTTGCTATCTAATTAAAACACTATGTTCTTATGGAAACTGTTTTTAGTTTTTATCAGTGATTGAATCATAGTTAGCCATGCAACACATTAGGCATATTTCTAAGTTGACATTAACAATGATGTTCTCTTCAAAGAGTAGAGTGCCCTGAGATACTTGATAATTCATCACAATTTGCATAAAAAGAAGATGACTAACAAATCTCCTCTCTCATAGGAAAGCACTTAGCAACAGCTTTCTGAGAACACTACATTGCAAGCACTGCCTGCCCACCATTGTTCAAAGCAGTGCTCCCATTTACACAGATGTACTCATCTTGTGATAAATCATAATGCTCTTAACATCAAGGGACTTAGGACTACTTCTCAAATTGCCGTATTCAAACTTACACCAAATTACTGAACTGCTACCGGTCAACTCTTTCCTCTTCAATAGCTTTAAAAAAATTCATGATTGCAATCAGCACCTGACTTCATAATTGCCATGGAATTCAGCGTAATGTTTGGTGGTCCATTATCAATGGCTGACATATTAAATGAGCCCTATTGGTCTCTTGGGTTACTGGGTATATTTACAATCTGTTCCTGAGTAGGCTTTAAGTTTGATGAACAACAGTTTCCTGGTCATCTGAATGGCTGATTTCTGCAAGATACATCAGAATGACTAATTAGGTGCATTGCTAATGTCAAATAGCCGTGGAGAATGCTTACGGGATAATAGCTTTGGAGCAAGAAGGCACCACAGCAGCTATCAAGTGTAACTCCTTCATTTTCTAAATGTGGAAACTGAGGCCTAGAGAGGTAAAGTGACTTCAAGGTTGTACAAGTGGCAGAGCCAGGATTGGAACTGAGGTCCTTGGTTTGCAAATTTAGTACTTTTTTCCACTGCAGTGTGCTGCACATAACATTCTTAATTACCTTCTTTCACTCTCTACCTCTGCAGAACATCCAAGGCAGTGAAACTCATTTTGTTCAAATGAAATGCTATTTCATACATGTAACTTATCTTTATTTTTGTGATGCATTGGCCCACCACTTCATAGGTATGTAGCTGAGTTGGAATTAATGGAAAGGTTTCATTTGTGGATCATTTGAATAGTCGTTTAAGAAAAGAATGGCCACTTCTAGGCCCCAAGTACTCTATTAGACAGATCACAATAAGTGGAAAAGAATAGATTTCAAATTTTTATTTGATATAGTTCTTATAATAGGTCACTTGGGTTGTATTAGAAAGCACAAGTCTGTTAGAATGTTAGAATGTTAGAACCTTTGGAAATTGAGGGGATGCCCATCAATTGGGGAATGGCTGAATAAGTTGTGGTATATGATTGTGATGGAATACTCCTATGCTGTAGAAATGATGGCAAGTTGATTTTAGAAAAACATGGAAAGACTTGCTTGAAATAATGAAGAATGCAATGAGCAGAACCAAGAGAATGTTGGATACAGTGACAGGAAGAATAACTATGAAATTACTAAGCTACTCTGAGTATTATAAATATTCAAATCAACTACAAAGGACCTATGAAGGAAGATGCTATCCACCTTTAGAGAAAGAACTGATAAATTGGAGTATGTATAGTATGGTTTTTACCTATCTATCTATCTACCTATCTATCTATGTGAAATGGTGCCTTTCTCTAGTGGGGCAGGGGGAGAAAGGGAGGGAGACAGCTTGGAACTTAAAATGTAACAAAATAAATAAAAAAATAATGTAAACATCTTACAGGTAGGTACTGTTTCATCTTTTATATTTATATACCTAGCATCTGTCCCAGTGCCCAGAATGTTGTAAGCACTTAAAAAAATCTTGATTGACTTAAGTATGCAAGTTGAAAATATACCAGATTTGGAGTAAAAGGCCTGGGTTTAAATCCCAGCTGTGCTACTTACTTCTTGTGTGTATTTGAGAAAGTCACTTTACCCTCAGACTCCTCATCTGTAAAATCAGGTAGTTGTACTACATAGCCCCAAGGATCCCTTAGAGCTCTATATCTATGACACAAAATAATTCAGACCAAAATGTCTTTGGGGAACTTTTCTTCTAATTTTTTAAAAAAAGGAATTGCATATGTTTAGAAAGTTTGACAGTCTAATGGAAACTGAGAAAACTGCAGATTACATATGAGGGCAACTGCATCAGCAGTGGAACGCTCAAAGCAAGCTGTTGGTTGATATAGCACATGAAAGAGCCACCTATGTTTCTACCAGATGCCACATTCTTATTCTCTATTCAATTCACATTCATTTCCGTTTAGCTGCTGCCAAACTGGAGTTGTTGAGTACCTGCCGTTATACCATATGATGAGAGACAGAGGAAAAGAAAAGAGAAATCCCATGTAGTGGATGGTACTTTTCTGATAACTTGCTAATTAGGATGTATAAATATAATCACCAAAGTGCTTTCTAGTGTTGTCTGTTCTTTATTATGTACTTTAAACCCCTAATTTGCAACCCATGATTATTCATTATATAAATTTTTTTTTTAAAATTCTGGACGTAAACAACAAGTAAAACATGCACTTAAATATACAGAGTAGAATAGAAAAAGATCACTGTACATAAAACTATGGTTATATTTTATATAGCTTGTAACTTTCAAAGCTATCCTACTTGTAGGTAATTCTTCCTGATCTTCACTAAACTTTGAAACTGATGCACTCCATTATTTATCCTTTTCATCTCTGATAGAATTTTTAGAAAAAATGATATATACTCTAAATAACATAGACATAAAATTTATAATTAGGCAGTATTTAGACTTTATGTAGGTTTCTGTTCATAAGTTTCACTTACCAGAATCAAGAGGCAACTAGAAGCCAATTTTGTGTGCTCAGGGATGGTAGAAAACACTGACAAAATCAAGCAACCAAAGACAAGGAGAAAGCTGAAAAATAAAAACAAAAACAAAAACAAAATTAAATCTGATAAGAACATTGAATTAAGATTGTAGACAGATACATTTAAATTGGTGATAACAGAAACACTGAAACTATTAAAATTAATAGATATTGAATTATAAAGATAGTTGGAAAGCATACATATTCTCAGTGTCAAACTATACATACTTCCATTCAGTGTTGAGTGATTTGAGCCACTGACATAATATTTTTAACTTATTAAAGGAGGGGTTTCTTGACAGATAGTTTCCTTTTATTCTCCCAAATATTCTCACTCTCTGTGAGTTCTCCAGACAGTGGTTTAATTGCTAACTTTTCCCAAGAAACAATATGAGGGTGGAGGTGGGAGGAAGGACAGAAACTATTAATTTGCTGGAACAACCATGGACAGCTCCTTTTCATAAACTGACTACAATTTCAATGACAAGGCATTGGCTTATTTGAAAAGGTTGATACATCTTCAAGATTCTGAAAGATTCCTTTGTATTCACAAGAGTAGAAAGGAGGAGTATGAAATTCCTGATTAAATCTGGCAACAGAATTTATTCCTCTCTAACCATTCTTGTGACTGTAGTTGTGGGTCTCAGAAGTCAAGGGTTGTTAACTTTGAGTAGTAATCCAGGTAAGTTGCTTCTTCTTGGAAATAAGGAGACAGATTCTCCAATCTTAGCATCAAGGTGACATAAATTGTATGGCTTGGGCAACAAACTCAGGATAAGTCCTCTAACCCAAAGGAAGGTTCACTTTCAAAATCAGAAGCCAATCATCCTGTGTAGCAGGATAAAAAGCCTTGGCTACTTACTCCAAGACAGATTTATAATTTGGAACCACTTCTGAAAAGCTCATGCAATCAATAGCTTGAATTCATTATAAATATAAGGAAGATTGGCAGCTAGCATAGAAAGACTGTTTTTGGTGGCAGTGGTCAAACATCAAAGAGAAATGATTGTCATTTTTGAGAGAAATTTTCTTTACTTCAGAAAAAATATAGGAGGATCCCAATGTAAAAAAAAGTATGAAATGTGTACTACAAGGTTCACATTGTACTTCACTCTCTTCTCTTCATGTTCATATTCATTTTTTATTATGCTTTAAACCAGTTCAACAATATAGACATCAACAAATAGGAAATATAGCCTTAGCTTAAGTGGCGTCTCTCAAATACTCCATGGAATCTAAACGACATGAGAATTCCCTTTAACTATGCATATATAATCCACCCATGCCTGCCTTTTGAATTTTAAACATATCATTTCTATAAGTTCACTATTGGGTGAGGTTGTCTAATCAACATACTAAAAACCATACTTGCTTTCTCTTAAATTTGCAAATATATTAATGTAGTCTGGCCATTCATTGTTTATTGCCCTACTCTCTGTCTACACAACAAAAACCACTGGTTGAAGTGTTGATATTAGTCTCTAGGGACAATTTAATTTACATGGTATCAAATAAAGAAAAATGACTAACATTAACATTGAGATACAGCTTCAGTATTCCAGGAAAAGGAGAAATCATGAAAGTGAAGGAGGAATTTATTTACTCACTTAAACACCTCTATGGACTTCATGATGACAGTTTCACTATTTCTTCATTTTCTTTATGGAATATATGGATTTTGGGTAAACATAGGTCATGTAATCTCAAGATACCTCTTTCTCTTACTATTGATTCTCTTACTTCTTTTTCCATCATCTCCCTTGTTGCATATTCTACTCAACCATAAGGAGCACATATCTTTCCCATATAAATGATTTTGCAAGGAAAGCCTCTACATTAGAGCAACAATTTAGTTAGTAACCCTCAGAGTACAAACCACTATAACTATAGATCCGTTTTGGCACATGAGGAGTCTCTACTTCCCCATCTCTGGTTCCCAGCTTCGCTAAGCTGCCCCTAGAACTTAGAAGATCATCATATTCTTCTTGCATTGGTCTGCAGAAATACTGTGTGGATCAACTACCTTTATCACGAACAAAGGGATACTAGGCTTTACTGTGCAATCAATCGCATGTATTTAGTATTTAGCATTGGACTAGATGCTGCATGGATACAAGATAATAATAAGGTATGGTCTCTAATAGTTTATTATTTGCATGTATACATGTATACATGCACAAATATACATATATACATACAGTTATATATAGGCCATTATCTTTATGAAATTGCTACAGATTTTATTTCAGAGTATTCCAGAGTTGAAATCCCAGTTCTGCCATTAACTAGTCATGATCTTGGTTAAGTCATTTCACTCTTCTAGGCCCTATTTTCCTCATCTTTAAAACCAAGGGACTGCACTATGTGGGCTCTATGATCCTTTATAGCTCTGTCATTATATGTTTCTAACCCATTTTCATTTACTCCTTCTATCTTTTTGCCCTTCTTTGGGAGAGACTGACTACAAAAATGGGAAAAGGTATTTGTAAGGGATAGTGAGCCCCAAAACATTTCAGTTTCTGAAAAAAAGCTTTTATAAACTTGTCTTATGAGCTAAATGGGAATCAACAATACAAAATACAAAATCAAAAATACAAAATGTGCAAAGCTTTACTTTAGGGATTTCATGGATGCTTTATAAAATAGATGATGCTTCTAAACGAAGCACATGTTTAAAGCATTAACCAGGCAGGTGACACCATTCTTTAAATGGCATGCTATATATACTCACTGAAAATTTTAAAAAGTTATTTCACCAAATTATTTAGGAAGAGAATTAAAATCACCTGAAAAAAGCTTCCTAAAAGAAAAAAAGTTTCTTAATGACTCTTCATAAAATGAACCAAAGCAAACAACACTATTAAGTGATCAACAGACCCAAAGCACCAATGATTTGAATGGCACAAAAATGGGGAGTTACATCTTTAAATGAGACAGCTCATTATATTTAGCCTGACACAAAAAATACACTGTCTTCATAAGGCCGATTTCCTCCTTTTAATTCATGAAAAACTGAGGCCAAATGACTTGTCCAGGGACCCATCCCTAATAAACAGCAAAAGTGGGATTTGAACCCAGTTCCTCTAACTCCCAATCTAGGACACATTGAACCATATGGAGCCACCCTGGCACTGCTTAGATATACCCAAGAAACTTCCACTTATACTGTGTTCTCTGTAAGCATTCTAGGGGTGTTGTATGCCTTTCAAAGATAAATAGGAGAAATAATAGTTCATATATGTTATTTTTCTTTAAATCGAGCATTGGCAGAAATAGTATGGTGGAAAACATGCTGGATTTGGAGTTAGAAGACCTGTATCTGAATTTGACTTTGTCATGTAGTGTCAATGTAACTTTAGGCAAATCACTTAACTTTTCTGAATTTTGGGTTTCTCATCTGCAAAACAAGAGGACTGGACCAAATGACTTCTAAGGTCTCAGCAGCCTTAATGCTATTAATCCTAAATTTGAATTTGTTTGACTTTCCATATGTTTAGCAATGTTAATTTTACAAAATGCGCAAATATAAGGGCATGTCCTGGGCTACAATGAAGCAGTATCATTATTACTATTACTGTTGGTAGCAGTGATAGCATGAACAGGCATGAAATAGAGAAAGGGAATAAGCATTTATTAAGTGCCTACTATATGCAGACTCTGTGATAAACACTTTTTTTTTTACATGTATCTCATTTGATCCTCACAGCAACCTTGGGAGGTAGATGATATTATTATCGCCACTTTAGAGTTGAGGAAACTGAGGCAAACAGAGGTGAAGCAAATTGCCCAGGGTCACATAGTTTCTAAGTGTCTGAGGCTAGAGGATTGAACTCATCTCCTAGGCAAGTCAGGGTCACATAGTTTCTAACTGTCTGAGGCTAGAGAGTTGAACTCATCTCCTTCCAAGGTGTGTCATTAAGAAATTTAAAGTGTACTAAGGAATAATGAAGTCTGACATGTGCAGTTTAGCAGCATTCAATCTATCTCAAACAACCTAGAAATGCCTGCAGTCACACCTCATCCAAGGAAACATAGTACTTGATAAAGAAATCCCTTATTCACTATGTCACCTAGTTGCATTAACATAGTACTTTATGCTATATAGTTTATGTAGTTCAATCAACAAGCATTTTATAAAGCAGCCAATATGTGCTGAGTTACACTAGATTCTAGGGAAACAAAGGCAAAAATTAAAGTATTTTTTTTTGTTCAAGGAACTTATATTCTATTCTGAGAGATAGATATCGATAAAACAAAAATAATGTCTAACCAATATAGATAAAATAGTTTTGATTTGACTTGAAACAGTGTGTGTTAAGTATTTTGTCAACATAAAGCATGGTTCAAATGCAGGCTATTATTTTCACTGTATAATAGGAGTGCATAATATTAGCATCTACAGAAAATACATTGGCAGATAGTGTTTGCCTGGCAGACATGCTACCTAATGTCAACAAAAGAGTGCATTTGTCAAAGGAAGCAGCTGAAGTCTATTTCATTCCCAAGTATCTTGAAATTACATTTCTTTTGAAACTTGGTAATTTGCAAAATGTTCTATCTGAATGATTCTTCTACAAAAGAAAAGCATTTCAAAGACAAAATGTACCTGATAACATGCCCCAGCTCCCACTGCAATTCAAGGAGAATTAAGTACAACATTACTTAGAATCTTTAAAGTTGATTTGGAGTGTGCAGTTGAATAAGTCCCTCTCCTTCCCTCCCTCTAGCTAATGCAACAAGTACCTCTTGAGCCTTAAATATCCATAAAGAGCTTTAATCAATAAGTAGAATTACTGGAATCATTGCAAAGTTTTAAAAGCAGGGTTATCAGCTAACATTTTTGAGTATTCATCTTCCATATTCTTAATGTTTATATCTGGGTTGAGATGAATCAGATACTCTGGAAAATAGCATTTTCCATGGTGCTTTCCTTCCTAAGAGTTATAGCTGATGAAATAAGCCAAGACATTCTGAAAGCAGGTCCAAGAACTTTCCTTCAGCACAATCATTATAATCTAATATAAGAAGGAAGAATGCTCAGACTTTT